CAGCTGCAGGTCGAGTACACCTTGCTGCTGCATGTGGTGCGCCAGGTGCCATTGCCACAGACTAAGCATGGGTTGCCAAGGTTACGGCTAGCAGCTATTGACGGCCACTGCAGACCGTTGCAGCGGCTGGTGACTGTGTTATTACTGGTTTAGTGGCGGAGCTAGGGACAGCGGGGGCAGCTTTCAGAACTGTGCGCAGCGTACTTGGCACCGGTTGCTGCTGCGGGTGACTATAGTTGTTACTGGGCGCTGCTGGTCGTTGCTGCTGACCAACACTAAGTACTGTGCTGCGCACGGGCTGCGATTGCGGGTTGCTGCATGTACGGCGAGCCATTAAGGGGTTGTTACCGACTGCGGCTGGAGGCTGTGTGAAAACCGCGGTTGCAGGAGGCTAGTATTGTTACTATACTACTGCTGGCTGTTGCGGTTGGGCTGCCGTGGTTGCTACTAGAGATGGTTGCTGTTGGCCAGGCACCGGGTACTGCTGCGTACGATGCACAGTTGAATACAATGTGAGGCTGCAAAGTTCGAGGATTGTGTGCAGATTGCAGCCGTTGTGTGTCACTGTTGATGACTGTGGGCTACTGCGGGTGACATCTGCTGCCGCTGGTGGCTGTTGCTGCGGCTGCTGACGGCTGTTGCGGTAGCTATTAATTGTCGTTGAGCCCTACTGCTGCTGCGCATAAGGGCTGACACCAGGTGTGGGGTGACTGCAGATAGGCTTAGAAGAGTAGATTGGGCCTAGGGAGGGAGTCTGGTTCTGTGGTTTGGAGGCCCATCAGGAGGGGTTACCTCGGTAGTCTGACTTCTTTGACCAAGCTGTCACTTGGCTGCCATTGCGGGGCCCTCAGGCGAACCAAGATAACAAGGCCCCCTCACTCGAGTCTGAGTGCACTCCTCTTAGAGTCTCTATACTGTCTCTCTATCTACCTTTCTTACTCCAAGTCTGGTCTATTGGTTACGAGGGGAAGGCGACAAGCGGGATTGCAACCTGTAGATCCGCCTCAAGACTCTGCGGGGAGTCCTCCCACCGATTGTGGGAGCTCTGCCGGAACGTAGGCGAGGTTCTGGAGGCAGGGAACCACCAGGTAACTGCTTTCTATCTGTATACCCCCACTACACGCATGTTTGCATATCCCCTCTATACTTGCTTGATGTATGTCTGCCTGTCCCTATAAATCTTATTTTCTATTCAGGACTTAATCAGACAAAGTAAATGAGGGCATGTATAAAGTCAAGTTCCAACTTCTTTGATTGATTGAAAGCAGAGTGTGGGATTGCATCTAGGGGAAGGGTGGGAGAAAGACAGTATTGTGTGAAGTTTGACTGGGTCAACCAAAGGCTGGGCCAGTTCCATAAGTTTGGGAAGACCCAGTGCTGTGTTTTATTTTGTATTGCCTGGAGAACCAGACAAATCCATAAGTTTGGTGGTCTGGTTGCTCTGATTAGTGAGGGTTGAATGTGATTGCTTCTCCAGGCGCAGTCAAATCCATAAGTTTGGGTAGTCTAGCGGCCTTGTTTATTTGGTGGTTTTGATAGTTTCTTTGGTTTTTGAACGAGGAGGTGAGCATGTTCCATAAGTTTGGGTGGCTCTACCTCTTCCTGCTTTGGTCTAAGAGAAATAAACCAGGCTGACGACCAAGACATGTTCCATAAGTTTGGGTAGTCTTGGTCCAACGCCTCGCACATGTTGGAACTTGAAGGCTATAACTTTGATATACTTCACTATTATACTATCTCTGAACAGGCTAGTCAGGCAGGGTTCCATAAGTTTGGGTGGCCTGACTATAGCTTATCACCAACTGAAGAGAGTACTTAACTAAGAATAAACTTGTGGTACGAAGGGGCAGGCTGAGTCTTGAGCTGAAGATGATCGGCTCAGCTATATRCTACCTCAAAAGACTAAGTRCAGACAATTATATAAACCTTGGATACTTAAACAATTCAGGGCGGCTAGGGTGGCCTAGTCATATGCCCAAAGAAGAGAAAAGTTGTTGTGCCCTGTGTTTGTGTATACATCTTGGCTGGGCTAGACATGTTCCATAAGTTTGGGTGGCTTAGCCTTATGCCCTATATAAGTTGGGTATAAGGGACAAATCATTGAAGGACTACGAACTATTGTTTGCTAAAGTAACTTGGGGATGGTGAGAGAGTTAATGTTTGTGGTTTGACCTGCATGTGACTGAGTGATGCCACTTCTTAGTCTGAGTTTGGATTTGACAGGTAGTTGCTGTAGTTGCTCGCCATGTGCTAGAGTCATACGAGTTAAAGTCGATTTTTGCATTTTCTGGACTCGCTTTTGTTTACTTAGCTCAGTTTCTGCATTCTCTGGGATCTTCTTGAGTCAGACTTGGTCTTTTATAAATCTTGGTAAGCCACTTTCTCTACGGGAAGCGCTGCCGAAATTTCTACGAAATCAGGGAGTTAGTCAAAACTTTGACTTCTTCGGGATCCGGCCTTTATGACTTTTTGACTTAGTAAGAACCTGGGGAGCCTCCTTTTCTAAAGGAGATGCTGCCCAAATTTTTACTAATTCAGGGTGTTAGTCAAAATTGGGCCCTGAAGGATCAAAATCATTTTCAGATTCCAAACCTAGCTTTGTATAAATCTTGGACTGACACTTTCTCTACGGGAAGCGCTGCCAAAATTTCTACAAATCTAAGGGGTTGGTTAAGAGTTTGTCTTGACAGAACTTAGACTTTATGTCTAAGTTCAATTCTGACTTGGTATAAATCTGGGAAGCCTTCCTCCCTGAGGGGGTCCCTGAGGGGAGTGCTGCCCAAATTTTTGCTAAGCCAGGGAGTTAGACAAATCTTGGCTTCTGGAATCCACAAGTTTGACTTTTAGGCTAGTATATTTCTTGCGATGTCACTTCTCCTACGGAAAGCGCTGCCGAAATTTTCCTAAGTTAGAGGAGTTAGCCTATATTTAGACAGGTGGCAACATATGTAGGGGAGGCTATGGCGAAATCCACCTTACGCTGAGTGCTAGCTAGGGGTAGATTTAGGCTTAGTCAGATATAATGACTAAGTAAGATCAGGATATGGAAATTAACCCCCCAGGACGTATAGACTTAGTTTGAGGTTGGCCTGTCTTGTGTTACAGGTCATTTTGATCGGTCGCATCAGGACGTGGACTAGACTCAGTTGATCCTACAAGGATCACTTGTTGTTATCACAGATAACAGGTCGGTTGCCGACTCGTCGGTTACGACTCAACCTCAACCCACTCTCCTTACTCAACCTAAAGAGGCTTCAGCCCTGGTGATCTTTTCTGTTTTGTTAAGGTTTTACCCGGACTTTTATTGAATGACGATTTAATAAAGGTACTGAGTATTTACTTAAGGTTGGTTGGCTGGAGGTTGGGGCTTGCATGGCTGAGGCAAAGGGTATGAGCATAGAGATTGGTTGGAGTTGACTCCGTGTAGCGTATGGACTTGTGCTTGACTCTTTGATGTGATTGCAGGTATGTTCTAGGGCTTGGATTATTGGATTGGACTGCCCTACGATGTTATATATGTGTATGGCTATGAGGAGGTCCACTATGATTGCGAGATGTGATCGTCACACGTTCATTCCCATATGTGTGCATATGTGTGTATATGTGTATGTATGCGTACCTATGTAGGGTACTTGTGTGGCATGAAAGGGGCCGCRTGCTAAGGAGTTAATCAAGGGTTGGGCTAGTAGAGAAAGGATGACCCTGTTACTTATATAAGTGCTTCTTGGAGATTGTTCGTCGGACGTTGGTCCTGGGTCGGGATTCAAGGCCCTTGTCCAGGACATCCCAAGCCCTAGGCCCTACACTGAAGGGGACCCCCCTCGCGCAGAGCCTATTTGCCTTGACCGCCAGGGCACTCGGGCCGAAAGCCGCACGTGCCGCGGCGGCCGCACAGCTAGTCCTTCAGCCGTGCAATGTCGTGAAGGGCGGAACCTTCACGATACTTCGAGTCTGACACGTGAGTGTCATAAGCGGTACTCGGATGCACGAGGGACCGCTCGATTATGGGCATTGCATAGTACGCCATCTTCGCGACTGCTTGTGTGCGTTGGCATTGCTAGCCGATATGAGAAGGCCTACGCCCGCTTGGCTTTATATTAAGTCTCGCGCACGACGCTCAGCCGGTTCCCGCACCAGGAAGTTATGGGATGGACACTAAGGGACTAGAAGGGTGTCGCGTTGTATGTCCTTTGCGTCGTTAAGTGCTCGTGTGTGTGTGTGCGTGTGTGCGTGTGCTTTACCTTTATGTACGTTATAGTGGTGTGCGCGTGGCGTGTGGGATACGTCCTAGTCGACCGGTGAAGAGCCGCGCTTGGGACCTCAGCCCCCCAAGATGTCGGTTCGCGTGCGGGTCCGATAGAGGCGTAGTACCGCGCGTACCCCTTATGCTACAGCGAACGAGGAACGCCTTTGGCTGGTCCACCTCTGCGATTGCAGCTGATCAACTTTCGTACTGTGGACTGGTAGCTCGGCGGGGATATGCCCACCGAAGGGAGGTCACAGCTCCCGTAAGGTGGAGGTAGTCGTGCCTGGCGTAGGCCCTGTCCTGTCGTAGGTGCTCGCGAGAGGTATGGCTGGCGCACCCGGCCGGAGTGGCTTGCGGAAGCTCCGTGTGTGTACCACAACGGGATGTGTACTTTGACTCCTGCGTGACACGGCCGGGAGGGTCCCGCGCTACCTCTGAGTGGTGCCGGACCGATGCGCTCGAAAGGTGGTGCCGTTGCCGGGAATGACGGTTGTATGCCGTTGTCCCTGGTGGAACGAAATCCGGGTATTAGGATAAGGAAGAAATCAGGCATGAGTAGGAGATTTGAAGTGAATTCGTAGGTAAGACTACATGAGGGTGGTAGGATTATAGTAACTATGCGGGGAAACCCTTAGTGAAAGTAGACCCTGTGAATGTAGGTCTGGGAACGAAAGGGACGTGGGTGTCAGTTAAAGTATGAAACGCCCAAGGGCTAAGTGGTTAGCTCGATAGGCTTATGCTGGAGTGAGAGTGCTGAATAAAGTTGTCTGTGTACCTCGTCTTACTACAGGGAAGTTAAGTGAAGGACAGGCTGCTAAAATGACAGGCGGCATAGGCGACAGTTCAGGCAAGGTCCTGACCCTCGATGATCTCATCGAGGCGATGGACAAGCGGGAGAGAACGCCGAGGAGTGTCCCCAAATTCGACACCTTCCACTTCAATGGGGAACGGGTCTCTGAATGGCTGGACCTAGTGGAGCAAGCCTTGGTGGGAGTACCAGACGAGACGAAATTCAAACGCATCCTGCAGTATGTGCTCCATAAGCACCATCCGGAAGTACAGAAGGTGGTCGACGACGCCAACGGCGACTGGGCTAAATTTAAGGAAGGAATGCAGCGAAAGTATAGGTTGGGGGATGGCCTACTGACTATGGCGGACCTAGAGGCAATGAATAGGGACGGCTTCACCACCATTGGGGCATTCCTGCAAGAATTCAAAAAGAAGGCGAGAAAGGTATATGGGATATCAGAGGAGGCGCATTGCGCCGTCTTCCTGGGACTGCTCACCGCATCTGAGACAGTTGAGCTAACAAGCCATGGGGGAGGAAATGCCAAACTTACCTGGGCCACCATTGACAGAGGGGTGGAGGTTGGAGGCCTCGACCAGGTCGAGCAGCACCAGGTGAGGCTGCAGAGGCAGAAACGGAAGGACAGGGATGTGGCTGGGTTGCCAGGAGTAAAGAAGATCATAACCGACATACTAGCAGGGCCAGACCCGGTGATACAGCGGAAGGTGACGGCGGCGGTCCAGAAAAAAGGCAAGGGGGCCGTGGTAGAGGAGGCTACCCAGGAGGGATGGGAAGAGGAGGAGCTGGTACCTCCACACCTTACGAAGGCGCAGCGTAACCAGCGCAATCTAGCACAAGGCGGACAAGGGTCAGGAAAGGGCCATGCGCCTCAAGTAGTGGTAGCGACATCTCCGAGCTCGTCCGGGCCGTCAAGTAGTGCGGGCCCGTCGCAAGCACCAGTGCCACCATTTGGGCACTGGCTGTGGCCCCTAGTTAATACCTATGTACCCTGGGGTGGCCCAACGCCGTCTGGACAGGTAATACCCTATGTTAGGCCCCAGACAAGTATGCCACCTCCGAGCTACCCCGCCGCCCAAACTCAGCCAGCAGTACCACCGACGCTTACGCCCACACAAAGTTCACAAGGCAGTGTGGCAGGTGGTGGTAGTCAAGGCCAAGGGAACCAGGGGAATGGAGGAAGGGGCGGTGGACGAGGACGTGGCAGGAATGGAGGTGGCTGAGGAGGCCAATGGGGCAGTCAAGGCGGCCGAGGAGGCCAATGGGGCAACCAAGGTGGCCAAGGCAATCAAGGCGGCCAAGACAACCAAGGGAATCAAGGTGGTGGAAGGGCCCGATTTGATTGGAGGACTGCCATATGTCAGCACTGTGACCAGCAAGGTCATACTATTAGGTTTTGCAACGTACTGAGAGAGGACGAGAAAAATGGACTGATTTATTCTAATATGGATGGGGACATTTACGACCAATTTGGAGATTTTATTGATAGGAAGGCTGGTGGGGTTAGGGTGGAGGCCCAACGAAGGTTGGCAGCACGACAGCCACCTCTTGCCACGTTCAGGCTATGGCAGGAGAAGGAAGAGCTGCCGATTGGAGTTGAGGAAGTAGGAAGTGACAAGGAAGTAACCCAGAGGGTACATGCCAGGGATGTAAGAGAGAAGCCCATAATCATCGAGTCGGACGATGAGGGTGGCGATGAGGAGGTAGAGCCGACGGTAGTCCTTCTGAATAAGATGGAGGACTTATTGGACTAGGTAGGGAGATACCAACGGAAGTTGGTAGATCTCTGCGAGGGAGTGAAGGAGTGGAGGGCTAACCTCCCCAAGGTCTTCCTTTATGACTCTGGTATGGAATCCATGCCGGGGCGGCCCGGAGTGACTACTGTGGGGACGGGCCCGCAATCAGGGATGATGACTAGGCCCCCTACCCCGCAAGCTAGGCTGGCTCAGGCAGCCCGCACTCGAAGTCAAGCCAAGGCAGATACGAGTCATGAACCTCCTCGGAAGGAACCAGAACCAGAAAAGAGAAAGGAAACTTTAGAGGTAGAGGATGATGATGATGATGAAGGGGAAGATGACCGGTTACGTCAGGAAGAAGATCAAAGGGCCTAACAGCCAGCCAAGAAAAGAGAAAGTCGGGGAGAGGCCGAACCGGTTATGCGAGACGTACCACCAAAGAGGAAGAAGTATGAGGTCCGACTAGAGGAAGGATTTGATGTAGAGCGAGTGATTGACAGACTGCTTGAGGGCCATAATGATTTAATGACCGTCAAGGAGATCCTGGCTTCCGCGCCAAGGCTCCTCAATGAATTGAAGGGAAGGTTGTCAAGGCGGCTGGTGCCAAATGTTCACCTCAGTGTGATCCTACCCAAGGAGATGGAGTGGGCTGAGCCAGGAACAAAAATGGATTGGAAGTGTGTGGCTTGTGGCGTGGTGGATCTAACGGTAAAAGGCTCTAAGTGCACGGCCATGGTAGACACGGGGGCCGAAATGAACATTATCCGGGAGACCGATGCCGTCAGGTTTGGACTGGAAATAGACCGCTCGGACTGCGGCATCCTGCACGGGGCCAACAACAAGGCTGTGTTTTATGGAACAGCCTCGAATGTGCTACTGGAGATTGGCAGGGTGAAGGTGCGGGCCTGTTTCTTTGTGATGCCTGATGTAGACTACAGTATCCTCCTGAGAAGGTCCTTCCTATGCAGGACAGAGACCTTGATGTATAATAAGCATGATGGGTCATTGATCTTGATTTTATGTGATCCAGCATGCGGGAATTACGAAGTGATTACCTGCCGGAACACTGGGCCAAGGAGCCTCAGGAACAGGCCCAACCCTGGCTCATTCACGATCGAGGAGTCAGAAGACGCGCATCGGAGGCTTATGGCAGAGCCCGAGGAGGAAGTAGAAGGTGAAGCCTTCTCGCTCAGCCTGTCGGATGTGGGAAAGGCCATGGATATAGTGACCACGCACGAGATGGCCGATCCGGATGCCATTCAGGCGTTGAGGGAGCAGGTTTTGGAGTATCCCCATGTGCGGGATATGGAGCTGGTCTATCGGCTTCCTGAGGGGAGAATGGATCCGGCAGTGGCACAGGCATAGGCACGAACGGCAAGTCAGCCTTTTTTAGGGGCCGACTCAAGCAGTGTGTCCAAAGGCGGTACAAAACGATAGACAAAAAGTGTCGCCCAGTTCCCGTTCTGGTTACCGAGGACGAGGAGGTGTACTACGAACGGGAGCGAGCGTTGATACGGCGGATGAGGGAAAACGCGTTAGAAGGGTCATGCCGTATCAATGAGACGAATGAAGGAAAGTTGATAGTGGGAGAACCGGACTTCTTATTATCGCGGGAAAGAGCCCTGATGGTGGAGCTGATGAAGCAAAGACATCGCACCTATGCTTTCAGTGACGAGGAGCGTGGCAGGTTGGATGTGGACAAGATTCCAATGATTCGCATCCATACCGTGCCACACGAGCCGTGGAGCCTAAGGGGGGCGCGATACCCAGATCCGAACGAAGAGAAGAAGGTAGTGGACTACCTCGATGGCAAAATACGTACGCACGTCGCCAACTACTCAAGCGGACCGTACGCATCCCCGTGGTTTTGCTTTATTAAGCCCAATGGGATGCTAAGGTGGGTACAGGACTTGCAAAGACTAAATGCGGTGATGCGCTGTCGGAATCATGCGCTGGAAGACCGATAATTTTGCTTATTGACCTCTATTCCGGATATGACCAATTTTCGGTTTACCCGTCGGACCGACCAGTGACGGCTATGCACACGCCTCGAGGGCTTATCCACATGAATGTGGCTCCACAAGGGTGGACGAATGAGGTGGCAGTGGTCCAGAGGAATATGATCCGGGTCATGCAGACAGTTAGTCCACACATCACGCAACCATACATCGATGACCTGGCAGTGAAAGGGCCGCGAAAAAGGGAAGACGATGAGGTCCTACCTGGAGTGAGGCGGTTTGTCTGGAGGCACGTTCATGACCTTGATAAAGTCCTAGGCTTGCCTGAGGAGTACAACCTTACGGCCAGTGGGCCTAAGTCTAAGCACTGTATGAGGGAAGCGACTATCGTGGGGTTCGTCTGTAATGAGAATGGTCGGCGGCCGGATGTTAAGAAGACGGATAAAATTGTTGAGTGGCCGGTGTCATTCCATTCTGTAACAGATGTAAGGAGCTCCCTAGGTACGTGTGGGTTCTGGAGGTCATTCGTCAAGAACTTTGCGGCAAAGACATAGCAATTAAGGAAGCTGGTCCGGCAGGATCAGGAGTGGACCTGGGGTGAGGATCAGGAAGAGGCGGTGGCCAACATGAAGGAGGAGTTTCGGGAAGGAGGGTTGGTAGTGCAAGCGCCTGATTATGACACTACGGAGACGAGACCATTCATTGTGGAGACCGATGCAGGACCGACGGCCTTGGGTGGAGTTCTAATCCAAGTAGACGTCAAGGGGAAGGAGAGGCCGTTGCGCTTTGAGAGTCGCACGCTATGTACGTCAGAGAGAAACTACTCCCAATTCAAGAGGGAAACTCTCGCCGTCCTTCATTGTCTGCGGATTTTTCAAAACTACATCTTCGGCAGGAGGTTCATCTTGAGGGTGGACCCGATTTTTCAAAACTAAATCTCCGGCAGGAGGTTCATCTTGAGGGTAGACCCAACGGCCCTGGCTTTCTCCCTCAGGAATTATGTTTCGTCCGATCCAACAGTTGCCAGGTGGTTGACATACATCTGGATGTTCAACTTCGTGTTGGAACGGATCCCAGGGAACAAGAACAGGGCAGATGGGCTAAGTCGCATCAACTGGGATAGGCAGGACGGGGAAGCTGTAGAGGATACGCTCCCTGTTGATGGCTTTCTAGACCAGGACGAGGACATCCGCCGCCACATCAATAAGTGGTCCCCACGAGTCCCCAGCTGCGTTGGCCATCCTATCTGGCACGCGCCTAAGGGGTATGAGCGGAAAGCTGAGTTGGTGCTCAAGCCTTTCGAAGAGGAGGATCCCTGGGGTGGTAAGGACGTCCAATGGATGACCAAGTTGGCACTCGCAGGTAGCCCTTGTATGGTGGATGAGGTACTGACGATAGAGGAGGGTCCGGATAAGGTAAAACATCACGAGGAATTAATGGGAGGGATGTACCTCCTCGTCAATGCGCTTCTGCAGGAGTCCCTTGATCTGGAAAGCTCACTAAATCCGGCCGAAGGAAGAGATACTGTGTTGGAGAGCCAGGATGACGAGTTCGAAGAGGGAGAGATCAAGGAGGCATTCCGCGCAGAGGAGTATGATGGGATTTACCTAGAGCTGGGACTTCTCTTATCCTGCGAGATGCGTGATAGAGACGCAAGCCATAGGGCGCAGATGATGAGGGATCACTACCTAGTAAGGGACGGTCATCTCTTCGTAAGAAGGGAGGTAGGAAACCCCAGGCGGGTGGTATGTGGTCGCAACCGTCAGATTGACGTCATAGCGGTGCTTCACGATGGCATTGCAGGCGGACACCAGGGAATTACTGCCACGTATGCCAAGATAAGTGAGTTATACTACTGGGATGGGATGATGAAGATGGTTGGGAAGTTTTGCCGTTCCTGTGTGCCGTGACAGGAGCAGTCTCATCTAAGGCCAGGAGATCCGCTGCATCCAAGGGTGGAGAGAGAGGTCGGGGCCGTAGTACACCTCGACTTATTGTTCATGCCCCTTGGAGATCATGGCTACAACTATATCTTCGATGCACGCGACAACCTATCTGGCTTCGTAGATGGACGGACAATCCGTACGAAGACTGGGGCAGTTCTGGTCAGATGCATCGAGGAGTATTACCTACGCTACCCGTTCGTTAGGGAATTCGTAATGGACAGGGCTTCACCTGTCAGGAGGTGTAAGAGCTGTTGTCAAGATATGGGGTAGTGGCTAACTACACCACGGCCGCCCACCCTCAGGCAAATGCCCCAGTTGAAAGGGGGCATAGCACCATTACGGCCTTGCTAGCTAAATGGACCGAAGGTAAGCCCAACCAGCGGCCAAGGTATCTGAGGGCCGCCTTCTTCGTTGAGAACATCACAGTAAAAAGGACCACTAAGTATGTGCCGGCCACATTGTGGTATGGAAGACATGCTACCTTTCCAATCGAGAGCTTCCTAAAGACTTGGAGGCGTCAGGACTTGGAGGTAAATCTGTCTTTCGAAGAACTGCTCGATATTCGAGCTCGGCATGTGGGCGCGATTGAGGAAAGGGTCCAAGAGGCATCCGACCAGGTAGAGAGGAGTCGTATGGACGATAAGGCTCGCTGGGACCAGTCGGCTTATGTAAGAAAGGTACCCTTGGTAGTTGGGGACGTCGTGCTCTTGTATGATTCGTCCCTGGAAAAACAATGGTCCAGGAAGCTAGACAAGAGGTGGTTAGGTCCCTATCGGATCGTGCGATGTAGAGAGTTTGGTGCATACCAGATCGAGGAGCTGAATGGAGCAAAGTGGAAAGACTGGGTGTCAGGGACGAGGTTCAAGAAGTTTGTGGCCAGAGAAGAGGTAAGATAGGCAACCCAGTCCACTGGAATGGAATAGATGGGTTTGTAGATTAGGAGGATTGCTTGAGGCATGTGCTTGGTTTGACCTGAGTATGTCTCTTCGTTGCCTGTTTGCTTACCTCGGCGTGTGCCTGTTGTCTCCTTCACCTGTTGTGCAGGACTGACTTGCAGCCATGCCAAGAGGAGGGAGGGGAACACGGCCACCATGACGGCCGGCGGGAGCTTCAGGAGGACATGGACGACATGGGCCTTACCGTCGAGCAAGCACCCCAGTATATAACGATGGGGATATCGAGTTATTCATGGACGAGTTCTGGGGCCACGCTGACCATATGGGGTGGACCGTGACTCAGACGATCGAGAGGTTGATGGGAGTTGGCAGGTTTATGGAGCCCATCGCACAGATCCGCAGGGAGGCTTGAACGAGGTCGGAAGTGGAGGCGCAGATGGAGGAACTGCGAACGTCGCCTGTGGGGCCTGATGGCAGACCTATTCGGCTAGAGATTGGGAATGCAGAGGAGTTCATCCCAGCATTCGAGCAATTCATGCAGAACCAGGGAATACTGCGAAGCGAGTGGATGACGACATTACCCCTGTGGACCCGAAAGGCGGAAAGACATTTGGCCAAACAGATCAGGGACATGACCCGAGATTGGGATGGTTGTAGAGCGCACTTGAGGGTGGCATTCCGGCAGCCAGAACCACCTCAGCCTAGAGTCGAAAGGCGTCTCAGGAGCGGCAGGCAGAGGGAACCTGAGCCTGCTGAGGACCGAACCTCGCGGAGAGGACGGAAGGCGCTTGCTAGGCAAGAAAAGGAGGGCGTGCCTGAGGCAGAACGAAAGGAGGAGCACCCCGAGGGTGGACTGGGGCCAGTAGAGTTTCACCGCTATATTGGAGGAGGACTGGGGGAACCGCCTCAGCATATACAGGATGAGATACCGATCGTTGAAGGGTCATTGCAAGAGTTAGAGGCACACCTGGATGCTGCCCAGTGGAGAGAGCCGCCGATGAGTGAGGGGCGCATTGAGGCCATCACGGAAGTACCACAAGAGAACGTTCCAAACCCTAAACAAGAGGAGGGGCCGAGTGCTACAAAAGACCGGATTGGGGATGAGATCATAGAAGTTGAGGAAGACACTCCCCCTCAGGGACCAGCCGTGGGGCTGAGGCTCGGTAGTCCACTCGAGAGCCCGCCAGATACGAGGAAGAAAGTACAAAGGGAGGAAGTCTCGATCTCGGTGCCGGAGACAGCCCTATCGCCGACAGGAATGGAGGCAAGTGAGGCGGAGGGGGCCAGTCTGAGAAGGGAGGCAGACAGTCTGATTGATAGCCATCTGGCCACCCACGCTCTGGAGCAGCCTAGCCTGGAAGAGGTCATACCTGTGGAGTCACCCTGGGAACCAGGTCAGACCGAGAGAGAGGTGGAAACGGGGGTCCCAGGGGAAGTAGAACAACGCACGGTAGAGGAAGTACCAGCGAAAGAAACGGCTGAGGAGAAGCGGGCTAGAGTGGCAAGGCGCTGGGAGGAAATCCGGCAGGAGGGGCAAAGATTGGAAGCAGCAGGGGTACTCCCAAGTCCGCCACCGCCTTGCAAACCGTATGGGCTCCGGGAGATGTGGGGAGAGTTTCTTGCCCGCCATGGCGAAGGGCTGACGGCCCCAGGCAAGGCAGAGGCCGAAACCTCACGGAAAGCTGATGAGTATTTGGATATGAGGATTCGATCCGTATTCAAGGCCTCCTTCGACAGGTATATGATGTTGGAGGCAGATCTGAGAAGGAAGGAACTGAAGGAAGCAGGGTTGGAGTCACGGTTAGGGACCATTGAGGCAGAAGTCCGTGAGCTCAGGGCTCTGGTGGCTAGCTAGGCCGCCACCATCCTGGAATTGAGGCAGCAATTCCATGGCAGCAGGGATGGGGCGGAGAGTAGCAGGCCTGGAGGGCAGAGTCAGCCAAGACATGGGGTATCAGAGCAACCAGCTGTGGATGAGCCTCAGCAAGAGGCACCTATGGGAAGAGTCATTTTGGAGCCTGAGGAGGCAGAGGCCAAGAGGAAGGCTGAGAGGGAAGCCTTCGAATTCAGAGCCCCTACGGAACTTGCGGTGCTACCCACGATAGCTGCAGACCCTGCCATGCCACCGTTACTTGAGGAGAGACTGCCCTCGGCCAGTGATGAGCCTTCCCAAGGCTCGACAGGAGGATCCTTGGACGTGCTACTGGAAGCAGTCCACTCTATGCAAGAGGATGCTGGCTTGTTTTCACCAGAGTCCAAGTTGGAAGAGTCCCTCGAGAGCGAGATGGGAGGTGCAATGGAGGGCATCATCGCAGGTAGGCCCCAGAGGTTGGATACTCCTGACTATGAGCCAGAGGGAGCAAGGGCGCAACCAGGGCCCAGTCCGCGAGAGTCGGAGTCAGGATCTGAGAAACCCAGAGATGTGCCTCAGTGCCATGAGTTGGACGGAGGGGCCATGGAAACCCCATCGCCAGCAGGGGCCCATCGGAAGAAGAAAAAACCTAGGACGTTTTTTGACTCGGCCTGCTTGTATTGTACGGAGGAAGAGCACAGGGCATTGCAGTGCCTCAAATTCCTAAAGGACCAGGCAGACGGGAAGGTCTCGGAGTATGATGGGAAAATGTATGATAGGCAGGGTAGGGTGGTGGAACGAGCTGTAGATGGGGGTAGAGCTCAGTTGTATAGGCAGAACCAGGAGGAGATGAGTGAGCAGGGTCTGGTTCACCTGAATAAAAACAGGGTATTTCTTTAATGATTTTGCTATTACTTAGGCAGGATGGACACCTACGACGTTGAGTGTGCAGATGGGACCTACGACATGGGATGTCCGCTGTAACTAGGATCATGGAAAATAGGGAATATACACTAAGTGGCAATAGACTACTGAATTGTTTTGGGGGGTCCCCTGTACAGATAACCATGTACTATATTCAGAGTGATAAGAGTTGACTTATGTGGGTCCTGAGCAGCGTTGTCGAGCGGGGATCCCCGGGGGCAAAGCCGGTGTTAGGCTGCGGACCCCGGACCCCCGCCGCGGGGGTCATCCAACCCCGCCACCGCCGGACGACCCCCGCCGCCGCCCAGCCCCGGGTACCCCGCCGCCCAACCCCGCAGCCCCG